TCTTTCTTTCTTTCTTTCTTTCTTTCTCTTTCTTTCTTTCTTTCTTTCTTTCTTTCTTTCTTTCTTTCTTTCTTTCTTTCTTTCTCTTTCTTTCTCTCTTTCTCTCTTTCTCTCTTTCCCTTCCCTCCTTCCCTCCTTCCTTCCTTTCCTCCTTCCCTCCTTATCTCTCTCCCTCTCTCTCTGTCTCTGTCCGTCTCTGTCTCTCTCTCCTCTCTCTTTCCTCATGGCACTGGGGATTGAACCCAGGGCCTTCTCACTGAACTATATCCCCAGCCCTTTTTATTTTTATTTTGAGACAGACTCTTACTAAGTTGCCCAGGTGGGGCTCAAACTTGGAATCTGTCTGCCCCAGCCTCCAGGAGTGCTGGGATTACAGGTGTGTGCCACCTCGCCAGGCTCAGGTCTGGTTCTTTCACTGAGCATCCTATCTTCAAGGTTCAGCTGTGCTGTGGCTGAATAATTCACCAAGATGCGGACGGACTATATTTTCCATCACAGCTGTGTTTTGTTGCAGGGAACTTCTGACCAAGGCACCTTTGCTGGGTACAGTAGTGTCAGTGCTAAGAATCTGTCTTAAGCTATGGCCTTGGGAGCAGAATCCCTTGTGTCCTAGGCCCTCCTCCTCTTATAAGCCGTGGTCCTGTCTTCCTTGCTGGAGTTGATTTCACTGCTGGTTGACTTTGTCTTTATGTGCGCTCCTCCCTGGGACACAGGCCAACAGATTCCCCCGACTTCCTGTTTGAGGGCAGCCCTGGTGGGAGAAGGAGGCTGGCAGGTCTGAGCAAGGCATCTGGTGAAAAGGAAGCCACTTGGAATGTCCTGGTGAGTCGGGCATGAGGTAGCCAGGCGTCCTAGTCTGCCTGGGACCTCTGCCTTTGTGCAAGTGGGCAGCGGCTATGAGAGGGTGTATCTCAGGACCCCTGGGTCACCCTGTCTGCTGTTTGTGTGGGAATTGTGGGGCCCTGTGATTATGGGTGCAGCAGTGTCAGGCAGGGGCTGATGTTGAAGTATACTGAAGGGTGTCATGTGACCCACAGGATGAGCAGCCCAGGGGCTTTGGCTTGCCAGCTAGCACCCAGAATTCCAGTGCCCTCGATGCCCCAGTGAGCCCACGGAGGAAGGAGTGCCCCCTGGCACCTACCTTCACTGCTAACAACAGGTGGGATCCTTGCAGGTAATGGGAGGGCCCCTGGCCAGGGGCTCCTGGGGCAAGGACTGTGTCTGTTTTTGTCTGGTTTGTGGCTGGATCAGGCTGTTTGGGAATGAACGAGTGAAGAAAGGAAGCAATGGCGTGTTGTGTATGGTCCTGGGGGTTGAACTCAGGGTCTTCATACTGAGCTACATCCCCAGCTCTTTTTTATTATTATTATTTTTAAATATTTTGAGACAGAGTCTCCCTAAGTCACTAGGTTGCCCAGGCTGGGTTTGAATTTATGATCCTCCTGCATGAGGAGCCTCCCAGAGTGCTGGGATTACAGGCGTGTGCCATCCACCCAGCATACATGGCCTTTACCAGTGGTGAAGGGAGAGGCTGCAAGGTGGCAGGTGGTGTCTGTCTGCTTACGGATGAAGCTTGTTGTGGCCCAGCAGGCTTGTTGGAGGGCACTTCTCTGCCCACTAGCTCCTCATGAGACAGCCTCTCCCTCCAGAGGCCAAGATGCCTGGGCAGGGTGCTGTTGTGTGACTTCTGAAGGCTGGTCCTAGGTTAAGCTTCAAGACTCAGTGTGTTCTAAGGGGTTGGGGAGCAGGTCACATCAGGACTGCGTCAGTCACTCTTGAGGTCAGGCTTACTAGGCACATGGCCAGAATGGAAGTGGTGACTGACATGGTCTCGCCATTGAGCTGGATCATTGGGCCTACAGGAAACCAGCTCTGGGTCACCTCCAGTCCTTTGAGGCAAGTGTGGCTCCACTTAGCCTCAGTGGAGCTGGGGACACAGACTGCCCCCCTGGGGCACAGGAGGGCTCCGCAAAGCCAACAATGGCTTCTTCATTAGGCACAGGCCCTGTGGCCTCAAGCGACCCTCAGGTGATGCCACAAGAGAAGCAGACAGCTCCTCCAGGCGAGAACTTGTGCCATAGACATGATCTTGGCCACCTGCCTCCTAAGCTAATAGCTTGCTGTCTCTCTGACAGGAGCAACAAGGGAGCTGTGGGCAACTGTGTCACCTCCATGGTGCACAACCACTACACCCCCTCGGAGAAGGCGCACCCCCTCAAGAGCTCCAACCAGACCACCCCCTCCCTCAAGTAAGCCAGCGCCCATTGGGAGGCATGTAGCCCAGGGTTTGACTTCGGGAGGCTACGAGCCGTGTGTATGTGAGGGCACTAGGGCTATGTGCAGGGATGCCATCTTCCATGCTGTCACTTGGGCTCATGAGGTCCAGGTCTGCTCCCCAGGGACAGAGAAGACAGCCCAGATGTGGCTGAGCGCAGGACTCACACTTGGGGTGGCCTCTTCTTGGGGAAGCTGCTCTCATGTCCAGAGCTGAAGAGGTGTCGCGGTGAAGGTGGCTGGGCACAGCAGAAGGGCTCGTGCCTGTGCCCCTTCTGTGGCTTTGCTGTCAGTGGCCCTTGGAGTTTCTTGACTCCATCTAGCTCTGGGCTTCTGTGGCTTTTGAGAACTTTTTATTCTTAATATATATATATAAAGACTATTTGCCTGGGTGCCAACTGATAGGACCTTGTTGGGGTGCAGGTGGCCCCAGCCAAGTGGAGCCAGAGGGCTGGCCTTGTGCTATGACCCATAGACCTCTCCAGGCTTAGCCCCAAGACAACTTGGGGTGCTTGCTCTCTGGTGCTGGGGGCAGAGCTGTTTCCCTAGGCAGCGAGCTGGGCTCCTCTTTTTCCTGCCAGTAACATCATCAAGGCGGCCACCAGTGAGGGCAGCGAGGGCAGCAGCTTCGGGAAGAACTTCACCAGCAGCCACCACACAGCCCAGGGTGTGATCACAGGGAGCAGCGCCCCACTCAGGCGGAAGGAAGTGACCGAAGAGGAGGCCGAGAGGTGAGTACTGCCTAGGAGCTGGGCCTAGTGGCAGCAGTGCCATTTACTAATTGTTTCAAAACACTGAGGCTGAAAAGGCCACACCTGACATGGCCTCACCTGTGTGACATACCAGATAAAGGCCGTTCTATAGAGGCAGGACACAGGGCGATGGTTGCTTGGGGCTGGGTGGGGCCCGGAGAGCAGGAGAGCTCTGTGGGGTGATGGGGCATTCTAGAAGTGGATTGCACTGATGGTGGCACAGCTCTGTAAATTTCTAAAATCCATGGGTGGGTTTTCTCATATGTAAGTTATACCTCAGTAAACTATTAATTATAAAATATTTAGGAGAAAGGAAATATAAAACTGAGAAGAACAAAAGCACCTAAAGGACTGCGTCCTGGATGTACGTGCTGGGGTATGGATTGGCAGAGCACAACCCTTGGCAACAGGACTGTGGCTTGGGGCCAGATGGCTATGGCAGGCACCTCCCACCCTGGGTCCTAGGAGCCTCCACCACCTGGGCTCACCTGCCCCACTACCCAAGGGTTGGGGCCCCAGGGGACCAGCCATGTAAACAGGCAGGAAGGAGAGAGGGTGCTGGGAAGGAAGGCCAGGAACAGGCAGCTCCTTGGACGCCCCATCGTGGTGCCTTCAATGGCCGGGCCTCTTGGGGTGGACAGGTGTCACTCTCCAGAACCAGGACCTTCACAGCAGATGACTGTGTACTGGGTTCTTGGTGTCTTTGCTGAATGGCTCTCTGCTTGGTCCCTTGAACCAAGAGTGAAGTTTGTTTTTTAATCAACTTTGAGTATTATAATGTAGTAAAGTGTGTGTAGTGATAGCTACAGATATATTGTACAAAGTCCAAACCATTCCAGTAAACCCAAGATTCCCTCCAGCTCCTTTTATCCATCTCCTGCCCCAAACCCAGCCCCACCAACCTGTTTGCCTGTAGCCTTGCCTTTTCTGGGATGCCCGTAAATGCAGCCATGGTATGTGGCTCCTGTGCCTAGCACCAGTTGCCAGTGGTTGCTTTTTGCTCCTGAGTAGCATCCTGTCACCTGGATGTACCTGTATTCACTCTGTAGCTAGCTGGTGGGCATTTGGGTTATTTCTAGTTTCTAATGATTATATACAGAGCCACCTAAGCCTGTATTGGTAGATCCTTGCTTCTGCTGGGCAACTTCTCCAGAGGGTAGGTTTTGGGTTTTAATGGAGTGAACCCAGAAGCACTGGCCCTGTCTGGTTCTGGCTGGGTGGAAAAGGGCTATAGGCATGCAACCACCAGCTTCACTCTGCCTGGCTGGACCTTTGATATCCAGGTTCCTTCAGAGCATTCATGGGGCTGGGGACTGAGGACCCCCTCTTAGTATTGTACTCTGCTCTCTGGGCAGGTTTATTTGCCAGGTGAACCAGGCTGCTGTCACCATCCAGCGCTGGTACCGCCACCAGGTGCAACGGCACCATGCAGGAGCCAGAAGCTTGGAGCACCTGCTGGCATCCAAGCGAGAGGTCTGTGAGCACTTGAGCCACTCCAGGTCCCAGGAGTGGGCCCAGAAACCCTAGAATCTTAAACCATGTAGGTAGAGTTTGGGGAACAAGTAGAATTGAGATCTGGCATCACCCATAGGTACACACCCATCTGTGGACCCACTTGGTCCTCCAGTGACTGTCATCAGGGGCAGGGTGTCAGGAGACGCCTGCGAGCCTGGAAGGTTGTGCCGCACAGGCTTCTGCCCCCAAGGTGTGGAGCTATCTCCCCTGCTGAGCTGCCAGTGCCCGGGTTGGGGACTTGCTCTCTGTTGAATGGAGGTGGCAGGTTGAGGGTCTAGGGCATCTCGTTTGCCCATCCCCATGAACTCTGAAGTCTCCCAGGGAGGGCAGAAGTCAAGTGGAAACCTCCTCACTGAGTCCAGGGTCTCCATCCATCTTCTCATGTGCGAACCACATGGCTTTGGCTTTCCTGGCAGGAGCAGCAGCAGCAGCAGCGACTGGGCGGTGGGAACCTCCTGGAGCTGCACCGGCAAAAGGAGGTGGCGAGGAAAAAGGCCCGAGAGGAGAAGGCTCGGCAGGCCAGGAGGGCAGCCATTCAGGTGCAGGGGCCCTTGCGGCTCCCCAGACCCCATCTTGACTCTGTGACGCTGGTCCTGGGGGCAGCTGGCCTCAGAAGGATGAGGGGCCATCCTTGCCCAGGGACTGCTCAGAGACCTCCCCCTGCCTTGCAGGAACTGCGGGAGAAGCGAGCCCAGAAGTCAGGGGAAGCTGAGCTACCCAAGGAAAGCCTGGAGACCAGAGCATGGGGGCGGCCTCTGCCTACCCAGGGGCCGCTCCCAATGCCAGGCAGTGCTGCTTGCCAGGGCCTCAAAGCTAGCAATGCTGGTGAGTGCTGTGGGTCAGCCTCAGGAGGCTTGTGATGGGGAGGTGTGTGGCCCCTGCTGGCATGCTTGGGCTCCCACACTGCAACTGGTAGGTGGCTTTCACATGCACACTTGGGGCCTTGGCTCTAACTGGCCCTGTCCTTTAGCCTCCACTCCTGCCCCCACTCACTTGTAGGGCTATACTTGAGGTGCCCAGGCCTTGACAGATAGCCCTGGACAAAGGATCCAGCAGGCAGATACCCCGGCCCTGGGGTTGCTTGGCTCTTCCAACCCCACACCTTGAAGGCTAAGGCTCCCCAGTGTCTCTGCTCTGTGGAGTCACACCTGTCTCCCTGTACCTGGTTCCTTCCCAGGGCTCGTTGGGGTTAGGGCCCTGAGTAGCATGGTGCTGTATTCTGTCATGCAGGTGCCAGCAGCCACCCTGCAAGCCCCAGGGACTCCTGCCTGCCCATCTCCAACTCATCCCCAGAGCCCCAGCAGTCTCCAGAGGACAAGCTGAAGGTCTGCACATAGCCTTGCTTCCTGATGTCAGCTTCACAGGGCGAGTTGCGGCAGGGGTGGCTGAACCCACTGTTCCCTGCCTCACCTGCGCCGTTGCGTCCTTGGGCCCTGAAAGGCTGCCCGGAGGGCTCTTGCTGAGGATGAGCCAGTGACCCGGAGAGCCCTCGCTGAGGCCTGGTCTTGTGGAACTGCTCTGAAATGTGGTCAGGTTTTCACATTGTGCTGGGTGGGACCCTGTATCTCCATCCACAGAAGAGGAACCGGAAACTCAGAGAAGCTAGGGGACAGCAAGGCCACCAGGCTGCCCTGTGAGAGGCCCAGTAGCTGAGCCTGTCTGTTTTCCCAGAAAAAGGACCTTGAGACATGTTTCCAGGCGGAACAGATGCTGTCACCCCACAGGGCGGGGAGCAGGCCGCAGAGGTCGAGCCCCATGCTGCTGGGTTGGGCTGGTATGTAAAACCTTAACCACTGAGCCTGGCTGGGTTCTCACTCTGTCTGCTGTAGGACGTCCACTCCCAGGATCTGACCAGCGAGGATGTGGAGGCAGTGGTCCCTGTCAGGAGCAGGGCCAAGTCCAGGGCAACCCTGGATCAGTTGCTGGACTCGCTACGACTGTTAGAGGAGGAGCCGGAGCCACTGCCCCGTCCCAGGGCCTATCAAAAGGACAAATATGCCTGGATTGATGAGGTGACTAGGCCACATGCCTGCTCTCGCCCCAGCCTGGGCTCTGTCACCGTCCACACAGATCATGAGGTCACTACACGGGTCAGTTGCCACCTAACAAGGGACAGAGAGGTCCCAGTTGACCCCTGCTCTCCTCTCCTATCTGTGGCCCCCTTGCGGTCAGGACACACAGTAACCCACAGGGTGGGTGCCCCTCTCTGCCAGTGGTGTGCCCCAGGGCTCTGGAGCAATTGGAGCAGCCTTTCCTCCTAGACCCAGGCATGGTGGCCTCTCCACTCCACACCACCTGCCCTCCCTAGCAAAACTCTGGCTGCCCGGACAGCCCCCAGTGCTAGATTCCCTACCCCACAGGAGGATGACACCAGCTCTCTGACAGCTGACAACTTGGAGAAATTTGGGAAACTCAGTGCACCCCCTGGACCTCCTGAGGACGGAACACTTCTCTCAGAGGCCAAGCTGCAGAGCATCATGAGCTTCCTGGATGAGATGGAGAAGTCGGAGCAGAGTCGGCTGGCCCCCCAGCGGGAGGTGGGCACCTACCAGCTGCTCCCTTGTCCTCCCGCAGGAGGTGGTCACTCGGCAGGGCCCCCTGTCCCCAATGGGAGCTGGTCACTCACCAGGGCCCCACACGGCAGCCCCAGATCCACTGAAGAGGGGTAGAGGCTGGAAAGGTGGATTCCTCTGTGGATGGGTCACCTCTGGCACCTCCTGGATGACAACCAGTGGCCAGTTGAGTGGAGCAGTAGTAGATTTTACTGTTTATAGGCAGGGAGGTCAGAAGGAGATGTGACCTTTTCAGTGGTTGGTTTGATAACTCAGGCTATGGCCTTTGCTCTCCTGGATAATAAAAACAGCCTCTGTGTAGTGGCGCTGCCACCCTCTGTCCTTTACTCTGACTGGATGCCCTGCATCTGGCTGGTCCTCCTGAGGGTTGGCAAGAGTTCCCTATGGAGGGTGGAACAGACGAGGCATCACACCAGGTCCCTGGCCACCCCAGCCATCTACCAGTAGGTGGGCAGTAGGCAATGGGCTGCCTGCCTGACGCTCAACCATCTGCAGAGGCCAGTGTCCGAGGCGGGGCGAGACCATCTGGAGGTGGCGTCCAAGGGGAATGCGTCCGTGATGCGTCTGAAGCTGGAAGTCGAGGAGAAGAAGCAAGCCATGTTGCTGCTGCAGAGAGCGCTGGTAGTGCCTGGGTGCCATTGTCCCATGGAGCAGCTGGGGCAAGTCCCTGCCAACACCTTGCCCCAGAAGCCAGGGCTGCTATGTTTTTCCTGGACGTCCTGTCTTACCTTCTCCCCTCTGTGGCTATTAGTGCCCAGCCCTGACTCTCTGCTGGGGACCTGGCACCAGCGCCTCTCTCCTGTCTGTACCCCTACAGGCACAGCAGCGTGACCTCACCGTTAGGCGGGTCAAGGAAACGGAGAAGGAGCTGAGCCGGCAGCTGCGGCAGCAGAAGGAGCACTATGAGGCCACCATCCAGCGGCACCTGACCTTCATCGACCAGGTGACGCTACCCCAGGGCTGAGCGTGTGATGAGGGTCAGAGGGACAAGACCAGCCCCCAGACAGGGTTTCCCATGCTTGTCACTGTCCCTCTGTCAAACACAGTGTCAGTGAAGGGTTGCCACTCATGTCCTGCCCTCCTTCTAGCTGGGCATGGTGGGCCACAGGGGCATCAGGCAGGGGATAGCCAACAGGTCACTCAGAGGGACTAGGCGGCTCTGGAGCTGGCTGGCCAGTGGGAGGTACTCTGGATACACACGGCAAACCTTTCCTATGCTGTCCCAGGGTCATCTGCCCCTGGGGAGGCTATTTCTGGTCTGAAGGGGCTGCTGGGCTGCTGGGCTGCTGGGCTGCTGCTCTGCTTGGTCACTGCCTGCTAACTCCTATTCTGGAGAGAACTCCAGGCCTGGATTCTGGAGGGGAAGGCAGTGCAGCTGGCGACTGCTCCTTGGTGGTCATCCCAGCTGTCCAAATTTGAGGTCTGGCATGGTGCCCTCGGTGGGTGGTCCTCAGGGGGACTTCACAGGTACTTCCTGGAAGGCAAGGAGTAGGTGACAAGATACCCCAGTGCTCCTCAGCCTGGGAAGATCCTGGTTGTGGTCATAGTAGGGCTTAGACTACTGACCCCACTGGGGCATATCTGACATCTGCTCTGTTCTCCTGGTTGACTAGGCCGCACTGGAGCCCTGTGTCGTGTGCATGTGCAGTCCCCCCACTGACCTCAGGGTCTAGTCATAGCAGGAGGATGGGGGTCACCTGGGAGAGGGAGCACCCTCTGGGGTGGGGCCTTAGCACAGCCTTACCTCCTGATCCTGTCACAGCTGATCGAAGACAAGAAGGTCCTGAGTGAGAAATATGAGGCTGTGGTGGCCGAGCTGAAGCAGGGGGACCAGCGGTGTCGGGAGCGCCTGGCCCAGATGCAGGAGCAGCATGAGCTGGTGAGACCCCATCCTGCTGAGAGCCAGGCTGGTCCTTGTCCTTCTGTTGCCAGGCAGGGCACTTCAGAATGGAGTGGGACAACAGACAGAATCATCACTCCCACCCTAGGATGTGGGGGCTCTGGGGGTGGATTCTGAGGACACCACAGTAGCACAGCCTAGGAACATGGGTCCAGGGGGCCAGACAGTGAGGACGTTCCCCGGTATTCTTCCCCTTTTCCTCTCCTTCCCCTTGAGCTGTTTCCAGTGTCCAGTAGGGCCAGGCCCTGAGGAGTCCTGTGTGAACACATGTGCCTACCTGGCCCTTGCCACAGGGCAATGGACTGTGGACCTCAGAGCCTGAGTCTGCGCCACCCAGCATGGGTCCCCAGACAGTGGGACCTGCTTGTCTTCCCTGCTGTGTTGACCTGGCTCCCTCCTACTTGGACAGCAGAACATGGTTAGAAGAGTGATGCAGCCTGGCTGGCTCTGCTTCCATAGCTCCCCCACCCATTCCTGTGCCCAGACTCTGAGTTGGGGTGACATAGGCATTCTGAAAGGTCCCGGTATCCATAGCTGTCACCTAAGGTTGAGGACCCCCAGCCACACAGCAGAACACTGGCCCCAAGCCAGTCCCAGTGGTCTGTGGTGGGGCCTCTGCAGGCTGCTGGCCATCCGTCTTGCCTCTCAGGTATCCAGGTGTGGTGGGAGAGGCCCCCAGCCTTCAGTCCAGCCTGGCCCCTGGGGAAGACAAAAGGAGTTTCCTGGGGTGCAAACCCAGGACTTGACAAAGGGCACGGGCTGTTGTTTGCATCTGTTTGTTTTAACTTCCGGTGTTCCCACTCCTAGGAGATTAAGAAACTCAAAGAACTTATGAGTGCCACTGAGAAAGTCCGCCGGGAAAAGTGGATCAATGAGAAGACCAAAAAGATCAAGGAGATCACTGTCAGAGGTGCAATCCCTGAAAGATCGAGGAGGTCACTGTCAGAGGCTAGACTGGTTGCGGGAGGGGACCAAGGAGGTCATCATCAGAGGTGGAGCCACCATCAGAGGTGGACACTGTTGGGAGACACTTTTGAGAGTGAACAGTGGCTTCCATCACATGCTTAGCACAAGACCTTCCTTGGGAAGGCACCAACGTTGGAGATGCCTGTCTTCAGGCAGGAGGTGGCAGGGCCCACACCAGCTTGGGCCAGCCTTGGCCAGAGAGGCCTGAACTGGGAGCAGCATCTCTCCTGCAGGGGCTGAGCTTGGAGAAATCAGGGTTAGCAAGCAGTTGGCCTGCAGGTCACACTGCGAGGGCAGGGAAGAGGTGGCTGAGGAAATCTGGGCTCTTGGGATTGGTGTCTAAAGGAGCTGTGGATGCTTCAGTGGTATGCAAGGCTCCTCTGGTCTGGCCTCTTGTCCCAGAGTCCTGAGTGCCCCCACTGGGATGCTCAGTGGTTAGAACACCGGGTTTGGGTGGGGGTGTGCTTGTCACAGCCTGGGAGAGGTGCGGTGGGAGAGGTATGTGGTGGTTTCAGCTGCCAAGCTCCCCAGAGCAGCCTTGCCCTTTCCCCACCTGGGCACTTCCACTCAGCTGTGCCTTTGCAGGAGCCCCTGAGTGGCCGTGGTGGGCTGCATCCTCCCAGTGGGAGGTGGGGTCCTCCTAGGAGATGGAGTCCTCTCAGTGGGTGGGGTCCCTCAGTTTCTTTGTTCCAGTGGTGGGGCCTCCCTGCTCTTCTGCAGCTGGTTGCCCTTCTCAGGTCTGGAGCCCGAGATCCAGAAGCTCATCGCCAAGCACAAGCAGGAAGTCAGGAGGCTCAGGGACCTGCATGAAGCAGAGCTGCTGCAGCGTGAGGAACAGGCTGCACAGCGCTACCTGCGCCAGGCTGAGGAGCTGCGGGAGAATGTGGAGCGGGAGAAGGAGGCCATGGGCCAGCAGGAGCGCGAGCGTGCCCGGCAACGGTGGGTGTCCCTGTGTGGGAACTCTCAGCCTGAGGCTCTGAACTCTGTGGGCTCCAGAAATGGTACAGGAGCTGTACTCCCAGAGCACTGCCCGTGCCTCCCTCAGTGACAATTAGTGAGCTGGACAGGGCTGTGTGTACACCCCCACCCACCGGCCAGGTGCAACGAGGGGTCCTCATGTGAGGGAGACTGGGTTGTTCTCATTAAATGTCCAGACTTTCATAGTGGCCCCAGGGCCTCTGGCCCTTGGGCAGATAGCTTCATGGTTCCTCTTTCCTCTGTCCCTCAGCCCCAGGATGGGGAGTCCACCCAGCGCTTATGTGAAGTGTGACCAGTTGCACCCTTAGACCCAGGACCTGCTGGCCAGGGCCATGCCCAGGGATGGTCCATATGTGTAGGTAGCAGTGACCTGGGGCTCCTGGCTCTGCCCTTATGAACCAGTCCTCGACATCCTGCAGGTTTGAGCAGCACCTGGAGCAGGAACAGCGGGCCCTAGAGCAGCAGCGACGGCGACTGTACAGCGAGGTGGCTGAGGAGAGGGAGCGGCTGGGCCAGCAGGCAGCCAGGTGCCACGGGGGGGACCCCTTATGTGGGGACCCCTTGTTTGGCCCCTTCTGGTTTCCCCTCACCCACCCAGCCCTTTTCCGATAACCTCTTGCCTGGCCCACCAACACCTTTGCACAGTGGCCCTTTGTCCTCTGACCTCTCTCTGGGCCTCCAGGCAGCGGGCGGAGCTAGAGGAGCTGAGGCAGCAGCTGGAGGAGAGCAGCTCTGCGCTGACCCGAGCCTTGAGGGCCGAGTTTGAGAAGGGCAGGGAGGAGCAGGAGCAGCGGCACCAGGTCCTTTCTCCCTGTCCCCCTTGGGGCACTGTGTCCAGCCTACGGCAGTGCTCTTTACTGCTTGACCCTGCAGGTTGCTGGCCCTGGGTGGGGCTCAGTGGGTGTTCAGGGCCCTGGACAGGGTGGGTAGGGCCCTGGGCAGGGTTGTGGCTGGGGCAGAGAGCACGGCTGTGGGCCAGCTAAGCCTCGAGGTGGCTGCTGTGCCTTGTTCTGGTCTTTATCCAGATGGAGATGAAGGCCCTGAAAGACCAGCTGGAGGTAGAGCGGCAAGCATGGGCTGCCAGCTGTGCCAAGAAGGAGGTGGGCCTGAGCAGGTCGGGCAAGGGTTGGGGGTTGCTTCTCAGGTCACATATGGCTGCTTCAGGGCTAAGGTTTATCCTGAGCTTGTGTGCTACTCTCCCAGTTCTTACGGGCTCCGGGAAGATTAAGGAGTTGGGAATGAGAGAGGAAGTGTCAGGACAGGGCTGGGCTGATGAGCTGGAACAGCAGCTCCTTCCCCAGAACGGTGGCTCCTTCCCCAGAAGCGGCTCCTTCCCCAGAACGGTGGCTCCCGAGCTAGAACAGCGGCTCCTTGCCCTAGAACGGTGGCTCCTTCCCCAAGAGCCACCCTTCCTGTGCCCTTGAGCCAGCTGACCCCTGCCCTCCGAGGGGCTGTTGCCTTGGTCTCCGGTGTTTCCTTTGGGAATTTCCGGTTGCTTCCATGCGCTAGCCCCATCCACTCGTAACAGCTGAGGGGCCACCCTGCCAGTGTCCACCTCTTGCCCAGTCGCCTCTGAATGCCCTGTGTCTACACTATGTCCTTTTCAGGACATGGCCCTCCCTAGAGGCAGAGCAAGGCCCCTTTGTTTCCATGAATCTGTGTGTTCCCTGTGGTTCAGAGCAGGGGAGCCATGTGTGGCTGTCCCTGCCCTCCCCTCTCTCACCTTCTGCCCTCCTGATGGCAGTTCCTGAGCCAGCTGTGTGTCCTTGCAGGAAGCATGGCTCCTGAACCGGGAACGTGAGCTGAAGGAGGAAATCCGGAAAGGCCGGGACCAGGAGATTGAGCTGGTTATCCACCGGTTGGAAGCTGACATGACGCTGGTCAAGGAGGAGACAGAGAGGGCAGCTGAGAGCCGGTGAGGCCCTCCCTGCTGTGAGCCTGTGAGCTGGAGCTGCGTTTGGGTGGCCAAGACCAGGGGAGGACCAAGAATTGAGATGTGGAGAGCAGTGGGTTATGCAGGTCCCCTTCCACCCTGCCCCTCTGCCCACTTACCAGCGTCAAGCGTGTGCGCGACAAGTATGAGACTGAGCTCTCGGAGCTGGAGCAGTCAGAGCGGAAGCTTCAGGAGCGGTGCACAGAGCTGAAAGGGCGTCTGGGGGAAGCGGAGGGGGAGAAGGAGCGTCTGCAGGCCCTGGTGCGGCAGAAAGAGAAGGAGCTGGAGGACGTGCGGGCAGTGAGTGTTCCTGGCCCTCTCCTGTGTACACAGCCCTCCAGCCCCACTGCCAGCTTGCCCATCGCCTCTCCTGTCCCCCAGGTAAATGCACAGCTGTCCGGCGAGCGCAGCAGTGTGACCCAGGTGGTCCGCCAAGAGTTTGCTGACCGGCTGGCTGCCTCTGAGGAAGAGAATCGGCAGGTCAAAGCCCAGCTGGCCGAGTTACAGGCCCGCCAGCAGCTGGAGCTGGATGAGGTGCACCGCAGGTGGGCAGCTGGGGATGGCAGGGGCTGGATGCGGGGTAAGATAGGCAGGGAAGCAGGCAGGACCCCCACAATGCCAAGCCAGAGGGTACCATGGCCAAAGAGGGCAGTTAGGTTAGATGCCCTCTTTGCTTATGTGGGATGCAGAGATGACTCATGGGTAGGGCTGCCATGGGTCCATGTTTGTGGCTAGGAGCCTGGGCTAGTCCCCTGGTGGCACCTAGGTCCAGGCTGCCGGGCATCCCTGTAGGGCCATGCTTGGTCCTCTGTTTTAACTCCAGGAGTGCAGAGGGCCCTAGCCCGTGGTTCTCCATGGAGCAGCCCTACAGGCCCCAAGGGTGGAGGCCTGGGAGGAGCAGGTCTTGTGTAGAAGGGGCAAGCACAGGAAGGGTAGCAGCATGTCCCCAGGGACTCCTTAGCCCTCTTGTTGCCTGCAGCCTGCCATGGGCCTGAGAGGTGGGCATGGGGACTTTCTGCCCATCTCAGCAGAGGCCCCACTCCAAGCCACTCCAGGACCACACTTTGGGTTCTGATTCCTATGGAGGCCTCTTTTGTGGGTAGTGGCCCAGGGCCAGCTTTGGTGGCTGGGGTTAGCAGGGACCATGGCAGGAGGCAGACGTGTGGCTGAGGTAAGTGCTACAAGGGCGCTCGCTGTACTGTGCCACAGGGTGAAGACGGCCCTGGCCAAGAAGGAGGAAGCCGTGAGCAGCCTCCGGAGGCAGCATGAGGTGGGTCCCCGAGGGCCCCCTTTGTCACCCTGCATCCCACTTGCAGTGGGGCCCATGCCTGACCCTGATATGTTATAGGCTGCGGTGAGGCGGGCTGACCACCTGGAAGAGCTACTGGAGCAGCACAGGCGGCCACCTCTAAGTGCCAAGTGATGCCGTACGCAGGATAGAGGACAGGCCAGAATGGGTGCTGGACCTTGCAACTGGCGCCCAGGCCGTGCCCACTACAACACAGGGCTGTGCGGGGGAGGAGTCATTGCGTGAGCCCACCTGTGCCCACCCCTCCTCAGGATGCCTGTGGTCAGAGTGTCTGCAGCTGTGTTTTATAGTAAAAAGAGGTGTGTTTTTTAGTGTTTCGTGTAGCCTGTCTTTCTCGTGCATGCTGGGATGGGAGTGTGGCCAGGCATGGATGCCTGTGGTCACAGAGCTGGCTCTTGTCCCTCCCTTCCCGCTTATCTCACAGCTTCCCATGTCCAGTGCCCTGCCTTGCCCTGTGACCCTAAGCCTCTGGTCCAGTCTGAGCACAGAGTACCCTTTGTCCCTGGCCTGGCTGGGCAAGAGCTCTCAGATCTCACCCCCTGGGAGGACCTTCTCCCCACCCCTTCGAGCCCTCACAGCCCTAGGCCACTGTTGTGTCCCTGTGGCTGGAGAGTGTCCTGAGGGAGTGGGCAGCCCTCGCATCGAGGTGTGGCAGCCTGGAGCCCTCCAGAAAAGCAGACTGGATGGGCTGCCATGAGGAGAGCACAGAGCATGTCCTTTGCACACGGCATTGCCATCGCACAGTCCACCGAGCTTCCTGCACCTGGCCGGGTGGGCCATTGGCAGGCAGGAGTGAGGGCTGCAGCCCACATGGATGGAAGTGGAAGTGAGGGAGTGGGGAGCCAGGAAGGCCACATCATCCGAGGAGCAGACCTTGGGTCAGCTGGGATGCCACTGACACCCTCCCAGCCTTTCCTTCAGGAAGACCCATCATCCTGGACCTCAGTGACCTTACCTGCAACAGGAAGACGCCTGTGGATCGTAGGTGCTGCCGGCCACATTCGGGCCTGCTCTGGAGGCCTGCTGTGAAGATCTTCCTCACCAGGCCCATGGCTCTGCCCAGTTCCTGGCTGGTTACTCCTGGGCATGGAGCCATCTCATATTTCTTGTCTGGTTCCCAGAGAAGAGCTGGCCTGATTCCTGATCACAGGCTAGGTTCTAGTGACCAGAGACTACAAATGATATAGTGTCCCTCCATGGCAGAGGGTGCAGGTTGCAGGGCCACCAGAGGGCACAGTTCAGAGGGCACCACCCAAGTCAAAAGGGAATTCAGACAGTGCAAACTGTGCATGAGGCCTGTGCACATAGAGCCAAGGGCAGAAATTAAGGCTTGGCTGGAATTGGCAGTTCCAGGGCCTGTAGAAAGAGCACAGGCAGGTCAGTGCAGAACCACAGTCGCCCTCCATGCTCCCAGCGCTAGCCACCCCTTCTGCCCTGGGCCAGCTTTGGCCTGGGCCTCTTCCCACCTGCCTGCAGCCTGCCCACCTCTGCCAGAGGTTCTGAAGGCCTGCCCCAAATCCTGGCAGAGATGGGGAAGTGCTGGACACAGGAGTGAGGGCCACATGGTCTTGGAGGGGAGCTGTAGTCTGTCAGCCCCTGAATCTGGCCCAGTGCCTCCAGCTGCAGCTACAGCCCGAGAGGACCAGGTCCTCAACAGTGAGGGGACCAAACTAGGGGACCAGTTTTCTGTTCTGGTACAATTGCATGCTATAGCCAAAAAAACATGTTTTTATCTGAAACTGATGTTAGACATTGCTAGGGGGAAGTGGCTCTTGATTGCTAAACTAACGTTTTTTGCAAGTGGGGAGCAAAAGGTGATTCTGTAGACAGCAGCAGACGGGAGCAAAAGGGAACAAAAGGTGATTCTGTAGACAGGCAAAAGGCAGTGGGGACTCAGGGCCCACAGCCAGGGAGACAGCCCCTGAGCCCTGGCTCCTGATTTTCAGGTTTCTGTTGTTCCACTCCTTCCTGTGTTCATTCATTCATTCCTGAGTTCATTTAATTTGTTCATCCATTCATTCATGCCTAAGTTCACTTGTTCATGTATTTGTTCATTTGTTCCTTCCTTCCATCCTTTGTTCATTTCTCATTGATTTGTCCATTTCTTCCTTCACTCCTGACTTTGTTCCTTCCTTCCTTCATTCTGTCCTTCCTCAGATTGTTTATTCACTCAGGCACTCACAGGCATGTGCCTGACATCCCCTCAGGCACTGGCCTCCCACACACCCTCCCACACCTGCTGCCTTTGCATCTCTTTGCTCTTGTTATTTTTAAATTCAAGTTTTGGTTATGAGCTGGGTGTGGTGGCGCACGCCTGTAATCCCTGCACTCGGGAGGCTGAGGTAGGCGGTTCATTGTGAGTTTGAGACCAGCCTGGGCTACAAAGTGAGCTCAAGCCCAGCTTGAGCTGCACAGTGAGACCCTGTCTCAAAAAAAAAAAAAGTTTTGGATGTCACAATAATCCGCGTTAAGGGGCTGGGCTGACTTTCCATCCTGCCCTCAAGCCACACAAAGTATCTCACAAGCATCTCTCCCCTTGCCCTGCCTGGATGAAAAATGTGTTTCTGAGAGGCCAGACTGGGGGAAGACAGGCACACAGGAGCTGGGCAAGGGGACTGAGATGCCATTTCTGCTTTCTGATGATGGTGGGGCTGGGCAGGGGTACTAGGGGCTGGTCCTGGGCTTTGGAGTAGCTGTTAGAAAGGCCCAGGTCACACTGGTACCTTGGCCTTCTAGCGCCTTCTGCTGCAGGTACTGCTAGCACCTGATGGATGAGAAGACAGGGCAGGGGAGGCAGGACTGGGTGTCACCCAGCAGGACACACACTGGGGTTCTCTGTCTGAGCCAAGCTGCCTTCCCCAGCTGCATCTCTTTCCCAGCCAGGCTCGGGGGTGGTAGGGGCAGGGGAAGAGGGAACAGAAAGCAAGAATTCCTGCCTTTATTTCCTTCCCTCTCTTTCCTTTGAGTCTAACTTCCTGTTCTTTTTCTAACTTCTTGAAAAGGATACTTACTCATAGATCATTGATTGCCAGCCCTTTTTTCTTTTAAATAATTAGAGCTGCACCCACAAGGATTGGTGTGTTGTATTTTCCTTATCCTTAAGTCCAAAGTATTTAATTTTCATGGTGGTCACAGGATATGTTCCATATTATTGCAGTCCTTTGACTTGATGGAGACTTGTGTTAGGGCCCTGCATGTGGGCAATTTTGGTAAATGGTACACCTGTGTATTTTAAGAGACTCTGGCCTGCGATTGTCAGATGCTGGGTGGTATCTGTACCACAGAAGTTCAGGGAATTCATTGTTTTCTGACTGCCACAGCCACACTGACTTCTTTCCTACTTGCTCTACAGTGCTCAGGACAGGAAGGCTAAGACCCCCCACCATATTTGTATATCATCTTTCCCCCTGTGCTTTTCTCATTTTTGCTTTCTGCATTTTGAAGCCATATTATTAGATGTACACACATTAGAGCAATGATGGCTCCCTCTGGATTGAGCCATGTCCCTATGAACCTTTCCTCTGACTCTAGAAGTGCTTCTTTGCCTTCAAGTCTCCTTTATCTGACAGTAGTTTAGCCACACTGGCTTTCTGTGCTTAGTGTGTGTTGCACGGTGTATCTCTGCCTTCCTTTTTACTTCCTGCGGCCTTCTGGTTCAGCATAGCAAACAGCAGTCACAGATAATATGCAAACTAAGTTGGGGACGGTCACCTGCTGACCCTGACCTAGTGCAGGCAGTGAGAGGAGGGATGGGGCTGATGTCTCAGGGTATCCCCCACAGAAGCTGCAGCCGGAACCTCCCTGACAGCTACTAAACACCTGGGAGACTGCTGGGCCTAGACCGGTCACTGACCACAAAGTGCCTGACAAGGAGACCTGTGCCACGGTCTCCGCAGGAATCTCAACACCCCATGTCCTGAGTGTTTTGCTTGCTTATAAGAAACATAATTCATAGTGAATATCATGGTGGATTAAGGGATGGGATTGCTATGGGGAAAGAGACTATGGGATGCTCAGGAGGGTAGTGATGTATGAGGTTGTATAGAGATCAGCGTCACAGGGTGTGACATCTGGGGAAGATTGAAAGAGTTCATTGTGTAGCGGAGAAGTATGCTAGGCTACGAAACAGCTATACCAAGGCCCTGGAGCAGGGCGTGCCTGGAGGAGGCCATCCACGTCCTGTGAAAGGTACCAAGGTGACCTCACCTCTACTGCTCACCCTCTGCCTCTGGACAGCAGGCCCAGAGGGGTAAGACTGCAAGCATCCAGGTGGCACTTCCGCCAAAGGACCAAGGAGCCCCTGCATTGAGGGCAGAAGGCCACCCACAGCAGGTGGCAGCAGGCCAGTCTCAGCAGGTCCCTGGGGTTCCTGCCAGAAGAGCTTGGAAGAAGGGGGGGCCATGGAAGATGAGCAGGGGTGGGGTCAGGGCCAGAAATAGGAGGAGACAAGATGACAGAGTTGCCACCTGAGATCTCTGGCCCTGGAAAGAGGCTACAGGGCACCACTTGGCTTGCCCTGGGTGCCAGGTGCCCAAGCCATAGCCACACAGCTACTGTGTGAGGTGGGGGGTGTGGGACTGGCTGGACCAACCCAGGACTGAGGGGGAAGGGGCCTTTCAGAGCTCCAGGCCCAGGAGGCACCAGGCTGAGAGGGAGGCCCGGTCCAGGAGGCCCAAGGTGCCACTAGTCAGGTGGGACGTAGGCGTGGGGGGCAGTTCTGCATGCCTACCTCCTCCAGCCCCTCCTTGCCTGCCCTGCTCCCAGCCAGTTCCTGCCTGCACACCCCACACAGGACCAGTGTGTTCATTTGAAGCTGTTTTCCTACCACTTTCCTGGTGCAAGTGGCATCTGTCCTGATGGCCTCTTCCTCTACCCTGGTGATATCCACCCCAATACACTCTTTTCCACACAGCCCTGCAGTGACCTCAAGCAGGTCCAGGGCAGGTCATGGTCCTATTTCTTCTTTGGAATTTTCTCCTTTTTGATATGTTCAGAAAACTGGAGCAAGAAACCAATTTCCCATAAATACTCTGTTTTGTGATTTGCCTTCCCAGGCTATAGACCCTTCAACCTAGAGATGATGAGGGTGCCCCTTTTATGAGAGTCTCAGTCTGGGGACCGCCCCCACCCTGGGCCCCTAGTGGGTACAGGAGAGCCAGAGACACTGCTGTTTGCCTTGAGCCAGACCCTTGGCAATAGTGCTAGGCCCCTGCCTGCACTTACGATGACCTGGGTCTTTATAGAGACCCTTAGGAATTTCCACCAGACATTGCTGAGTGGGCCTTTGAATACCCAGCCTTTCTCATTGTGA